TGAACGAAAACTGATAGTTTATTATATACTTTTCTTCTCCTTGCACCTAACGTAATTATTATAACACTCTGATGAGCCCTCCATTATTGTCCGTTATTAATCATTTTAGCAACAAATTAGTAAGTATCTGACTAGTTACTATGGATACAGGCAGAGTATATATACGTCCACATATGTATGTGTGTGTGTGTCTGGGTGACAGAAATTAACGTCATCTGTACCGTGAATTCATCCATTCGAGGCAGTGTCAGAGAATCAGGAATGAAACCAGGCGCGACTAACCCTTGTTTCGGATTGATTGGTGTTATCATTCTGGTTGGCTAGACCGCTCACGAATGACTAAACACAATTTCTGATAAGTGTTGATGATTTCACTTTCAGCTAGGACATTAGATGCAGCTGTGAGGATGAACGCGTGAGATGAGAAAGTGTTATTAAACCGGATTTTTACAAGATTGTGAGAATGAGCGCGTATTTACCACACTGATATCAAGAAAGTTCTATTAAACCACATTTTTACTGGATTGTGAGAATTTTGCTACAACAACAAACGATTACTTGTTCGTTCTTGTTAACACACTTTCAGTAGCGAAGTATGAAAATAACTGATTAGCCAGTGTAGCAAGATATATGAAATCGTCTTTGGTGTAAGTAATATATAGACACACACACACATATATACATACAAAATAATAGAGAAACAAATGATGCATATAATATATATGTGTATGTATGTATATACAGAGAAAAACAAAAACTAATTGGTCCACGACCTGTGGCTAGAAATAAGGTATGTATTACAGCAAGCTTCTGCATAATAGTTTACTGCTGGCTGGGCATGATCTAGTCATTATGTGCCCGGATTGTGAATCTGAGGTTTCCTGGTTTACACCCTGTTGTTGGAGAACTGCGCTCCCCACTTTGGAGCTTTGGGCTGCACCAAAAGAGTAGCGGTGAAATCCCGTTGTTCGGTCGGACAAGAGTAGCCCAAGAGTTGATAGTGGCTAGTTGTCTTCCCTCTAGTCTGGCAGTTCAAAATTAGGAATGAATATGTGAAGATAGTCACGTTAACAGTATAAAAACAGTGCGTTGTGTGTTATTTTAATCTTGTGTTACTTATACTTTTGAAAGGAGATTATTAATTTTTTTAAAGTTCTATTAGATAACGACTTTTAATGTTATTAATACTTTTAAATAAAAACATAATCCTGTGATGAATGGAAATATTGTGCTAAAGTGGGCAGAAATATAAAGAGGTAGAAATGATATTTTCCTCAATATTATTATTATCTCCATTTCGTGGTTACACATACAAAACATGGAGAATTGCTAGAATAGGCATAATTCTGTTTTTCAGACATTCTAAGAGACCGAAAAACTAGTCGTGGATTTATTAATAAGTTTCGCGATATTAAATTATTATTATATCTTCTACCTCAGATAAGAGCTTCAACGTTCCGTTTTTACAAAGCAATAGAACAATTACGGTTGTAGCTTTTGATGTGAATTTTTCGAAAAACAAATACTAGTAATGGTAAATAATAACACAAATTATATTCTTTATGAAGCGGAGTGGTTATAATGTTAGGTGCTCTGCCCACCACGGGTGTCGAAACCCGGTTTCTAGCGTTGTAACTCCGCAGACATACCGCTGTGCCACTGGGGGCATATCAAAGAATGTATTTTTCTATTGAAAACCTAGTTCGGCATTACTGTTATACAGTGGACAGCATGGCTGTTGTAGTAAAATTTTGCTCCTCGCATTTTCAACGATATAACTGGCTGGACCAATCTAGCCTGAAAAACTTATTGATGAAATAATATTTATATCACTGTTTCTATATTCTCACGCTTGTATATTTCTTTCAAAAATAGTTGATGACAACAGGTGACTCTATCATAAGATGGTTGGTAAAAAGTCATAAGAACATCACTCTTATTTTTCTATACTTTCTAAACTGAGTCAACACATTGAGAGGATTGAATAAAACATATTGATTGACTTTTTGTTCAAGGGTTATTCTTATTGGACAGCATAAATTGACGTTTTACTCAAAAAATATTCTTATTGGAGAGGTTAAATTGTCTTTTTGCTCAAGAGGTATTCTTATCGGACAATGTGTCATAAAAATCTTAGTAGGTAAGCAATTATTGTGTAATTGCTCCTAAACTAAGAGATAAGGTTATCTAGAGGTCGAGCTTGTAGGTCAGTCATTTGTTTCTCATTAACTAGTTTATTAGGCATTTAGTATAATATTTTATCTTTTATATGTAGCGTTTATCGAAAAATGTAAAGCTATAAGCAAAATTAGAGAATTTTAATATTGCTTATTGGTAACTATTGTTGAGCCATGTCATGATCATGACCAGAATTCAGCTGCTTGTCTGTACGTTTAGTTTGAAATTTCCAAATGAGCTTTTAAGACGACATTAAATCCAGTTAGAATTAAATTAAATTTGTCTATCAGTTATGAACTCAGTAACCAAAACTAACGTATATAGCCTTCATGATATTTATCTTTTTGCTTGTTTTGGATCTTTTGTCTGGGATAAGCTTTAAACAGTTGGGAAATGATACATTGAGCACAGGATTTGTATTTTTTAAATTATTTTCTTTTATAATTTAAACAAATTTCATTCCTTTATACAATACGGCATTAAATATTTTTCAGCTAAGCAATCAACTTTATTATAAAATAAATCATTAAAACACAAAATGAACAGATTTAATCCTTGAATTCCCTAAATGAATACTAAAATCAAACTCGATAACGTGAGTAATATGTATCAGCAGATTTTATTTTAAAATTTATAGGTTTTGATTAATATTCGCACTTAAAGATTTTTATGTCATTGCAAACTTTGACATTAACACAATTAAATTAAAGTTATACGTACGCGAAATTTTCTGGTGCACTCGCACCAGAGGAAAAAGCGTTTGTCTAATGTTTTCAGCACGTTTGTTTTACGTAGTTATACCTGTGAGAGTAACGACAAGGAGGAAAGTTTGCCTTGTCCTATCTCTTCCATTAGTGGTTTAGCAAAACTACTCGAAGGTAATTTGATTACAGCATGCTCTTAAGTGATGACTCAAAGCTGCGTTTCTACGAATAAAGCACTTGATTCACGTCTAATTCACTTTATACAAAATTAATCTCATTCATGTAGCTCGAAAAACAAAACCAGTATTTATTGGCTAAGTCAGTTGCATCCTTATGTTACGTGGCATGATGCTATTTTATCGTTTTTGGAAAATTCGAATTATCTGCGGATTATTTTATGACCTCTTTGAACATATTTAACCATTTTCATAGCTGATTTTCTCTAGTAAGATCTTAATCTTAATTTAGGTTGTATTTACAGAAATATTGAATACAAATAAAAAAAAGGTTATAATTTAATTGTATACACCACTATTTAGGCGTCATTTAGAGTATTGTGTTCAGTCTTTGAATCCTCACCCAAAGGACTCGGTTCCCCGGTGGGACAACAGTAAGCCTACGAACTTACAACGCAAAAATCCGGGGTTCGATTAACAGCGGTGGACAAAGCAGATAGCTCAATGTGGCTTTGCTAAAACAAACAAAAGTATAAAAGAGGGCTACTAGATTTATACTTGGTATGGAAAGGTTGTCATAAGGTTGTCATGTTTAAGATCTTTGATTTTTGTTTTGTAAAGAAAAAGAAGAATTAGAAGGGTCTGATCAGGTGTTTAAGATTATTAAGGAAATTCATAACGTAGATCCATCATTCTTTTCTCATACTTAATGTTAAGGATGTTAGGAAAAGGGAACAAAAATACACCTTTTTGGCAGTGTAGGAATCATCTTCAGTTTAAATATATTTACTTTTCTAACAGGGTAGTTGCCCTTTGAAATTTGTTGCCTTCAAATGTAGTAGATGCATTAATTATACATGAGTTTGAGGGAAGGTTCCGTGTTTTCTTTAAATGTTATGCTATTACCACCGCCATATTAAGTTAAGGTAACGAAATAGTATGATTCTAAATATTTTCACTCACACTAATAGCCCAGGTAATTTATAAAAAAATATACATTATTATATTGCTATAAATTAAAATTTATGATTTTAAACCACGTGTTGCTGAAAATAGTAAGTGATTTACACTTTTGAGGCCATAAAGTGTTTACACGTAATTGTTGAGCATAGTTTTTAAGAACCTCACCAGTTGAGATTACGAGACCAATCAAAACAACAGTTTGGTTTATTTTATAATACGCTTCAGAATTAATTTTTGTATTTATTTATATACATATTTTCTGTTGAAAAGCCCCAGGGCTTTCTTTGACAAATGTTAGTAACCCAAAGCGTTTCTTTTATTGTTTTCTTAGAAACACGACATATCTACGAATTTATTTATTTTATTTTACAGTTATCGCAAAACTATTGAATCTCATTAAAACTTATTCCAAGTAATTTTAAATAAAAACTCGACTTCTATTTTTCAAAAGAATGATGACTGCTCTTTATGATCTATATCACTTGAAGCTTAGTTTGTTATTATTAAATAATTTCGGAATGATATATTTAATAAACTGATTAATAGCAGTTATTCTCGTATTACGTTGCTGAAAAAAAGTACTTCTAACCATCGCAATAGTGCCGTAGTAACACAGTCACATATGAGAAATATCTAATAAGAACAATAAAGCAAACTATAGATGTATCAACTGATTTATTTACAGTCACAGCTAACAAATAACGACATATTGGCACGTCTGAATAATTGTACTACAAATATTTGTCTTGGTTTTTCATTATTTTATAAATTACTTTAAACGATACATTGACAGACAATGTTTATTAAGATCAATACCACTACTTATACTTAACATAAAATAAAGTCACGAATTAAAAGAAGAAAAACGATATGTGAGGATAACCGATTCAACTAAAGTATCCTCGATTAGCCATATTTCCCTTTTTATTGTGCCATTTACATGATAATATACGAATATAGGTTCTTCTAAAATTTGCGTTACAGAGGGCGTAACACAGTGGATTTATTGTGCTGTTAATATAGCATAAATAATAAGCAAAGTTCCATAAGCCTTCTGGAATACAGCCATCATCGGCACATGGCGACAGAGTTTTTACTAAAACTAACACATTGTAAGGTGTCCATGTTACAATAAAAGCCAATAAAATAGCACTTAAAGTTTTGGCTGCTTTCTTCTCTTGTTTTCGCTCTTGATGTTTTCGCTTTTTCTTGGGTGCACGGTGCTTTGCAACTTGTTTGTGAATAAGTTTGGTGTTCAACGGTAAGCGGATTGTCTCTAGTGCTGACTCCGAAGTACGGAGTGAATTGAACTTCAACTTTTAGGTTAGTTGGACGTTGGACAGCTAGAGCTCCCAAACTTCCTGAGGCACGAACTAGTTGCATGCTAGTTTCTGCCTCTACCTCGTCTTCTTCTAGAATCATCTTAATGGAAGCTTGAGACTCCCCTTCTCCTTCTATGGAAGGCTGGGTAGGGAGACGGATGAGGATGGTATAGATGGCATCTGATGAAAAGGAGCAAGAGGATGATGGATGAGTAGATGAACCAACCATGCTTTCGGGTCTCCTTGGACCATTCCGATCAGTAAGTGGTATATCTGTTTCCCGCCGTTGACAGGCCTGGAAAGTCATTGATGTAGTTCGTGAAGATTGAATTGGAGTTTCAGCGGAAGCCGGTGTAACAGCTCCCGGAGATCCGTGACTAGTGCTGTCATCATCTTGGCCATCTGCGTCTCGGTCGATCTTGCAGCAAGTCATAAATGCTTCTTTTACTTTCTGTGGACGAGATTTTTCTTGAATCGGAGGTTGTTTTGGTGGATCGACACAGAATGAAGTGGGAACATAAGTAGTCTTATCCGCTATGCACGAGTCGCTACGTGCTCTTTGACATTCATCGCCTTCTCCTTGTTCGTCGCTGGAGGACGACTTCTTGCTGTCATCCTTCTTTCCTGCTTGAAGATGAGTTAAATCCTTTTTGCGCTGTTCTGTTTCCCGCCAGATTCTCCAGTAAAGAATACACATTACTGTTACAGGAAGATAAAAGGCCGCAATAGCTGTACCAAAGGTCACGTAGAGATTGGTTTCAAGAAACTGAATGAAACACTCACCTTCAGCCACTTTTCTCTGTCCTTCAATATATGGCCATGAATAAATCCAAGGTGGCCATAACACAAGGGATATAACCCAAGCACATGCAATCATAAAAGCCGCACGCTTGGTGGTTCTTCTTGCTCGGTAGGTCAGAGGTCGTGTGACAGAGAAGTATCTATCAAAACTAATGATGAGCAAATTGAGAACAGATGCGTTGCTGTTCAGGTAGTCAAAAGCTAGCCAAGTATCACAAATCATTGGTCCTAGCGGCCAAAAGCCTAGTAATGTATACATAGTGAATAATGGCATAGAAATGAGACCGATCCACAGATCTGCAATCGCAAGACTAAGTAGAAAATAGTTACTGATGGTTTGAAGTTGTTTGTCCATCTTGAAAGAAATCATAACCATTATATTTCCTACTACAGTTCCAAGACTTAAAGCCCCAGCTACAATAGCGATAAGGATAACTTCTGATAAAGAATACAGGGACACGCCTCTGGAGCCAGTCGTTTCGAAACTAAACTCTGTCGTATTTGAAAACCAGGAGTAGTTACTTTCAGGATAGATATCCACAATATTCGAAACGGTAGGAGAATGAGAGAATGAATCATTTGTAGGAGTAACATATAACATTGACCGAAAGGGGGGTAACCCGAATCTCTGAATGGACGCGTTCAACTGACGCACGTCCCTCGGAAGGTGTTGTACACTGGAAGCCTGGTGTTCTTCTGAAGATGATAGATGATCGTAGATAGAGAAGTTCAGTAATCTGGCTAGAGCTAGATGACCCGTGGTCGATGCCATCTTGTTCTAGTCGTCTCTTCTGAAACAAGAGGACAAGATAAAAGTCGTTTTTAATTACATTTTAGAACATTAATGAAATTCATATATAATAAAACATTAGCACTTTCTGCTACGTTTATAATAAGCACATAGCGGGATATCGACCAATATTATATGCAATTTAGCGCGAGATGGTAAAAGGGGTTATTTTATACGAAATCAAACATGCGGTAGGATAACGGAGTAATATTAAATACAATGAAGTATATAAAAAAACGTTAACTTTTGTAATATGTAATTAAATACATAGTACAGTAATAGGTCAAGTTAGATAAATCTTAAAACCACATAATAGAATATCAAATCACTTGATATTTTACGAAACACATAGTATAAGATAACGTGTAATATTGAATAGAACTAAACACATAACACGATTGTGTTATATGTAATTAAATTGAGATGAGCTAGATGTGTGGCCAATGCTGCCTTCTATTCAAAATAGCTTTATTTCGAATCCCCTGAAGATTGTTTGTTTTTTATTTGTTTTTGAATTTCGCGCAAAGCTACACGAGGGCTATCTGCGCTAGCCATCCCTAATTTAGCAGTGTAA